GTATAGAGGATTCCTGTTCATTTATAACAGGGGCTGCAGAAAAAGAGATTGAGGACTCTGTGTCCCCAACCTTTTTTTCTATTTTAAAAAGGGAAATATCAGGGGTCTGTTTAGATCAATTTTCATTTCAGTTTTGAAATGTTCATTCCGGTGCACCTCTAGTAATAAACTTCCCCTCTGCATAGAACTCATGCTAGAGTCTCCTCTTTCTTGCAGACATCAGCTTGGCAGGCACAAAGAAGTGTTAAAAAGGAGTTGTGTCCTCAGCCCAGAAACCTGTATGGTGGGGCCACAGATGGACAGATGTTACATCCAGTTGTCCTCCAATGACTTACACACAGTGTCTGCACCACCCTGAGTGCTCCTCCCAGTTGCGCTGATGGTCTAATGCCACACACACAAACACACACTTTCTTACCTCCTTCACTGAAAGGTTAATAATCAGTGATCACTCAAAAACAGATGGAAAATGAATCGGAGCAATATAAAAACTGCTTCAGACAATGGCACCCCCACATTGCTCTGCGGCTGAATGCCAAAAGCAATACTCAGGCTGTTAACATGTCTGTGCTGCAAATGGAGCATCAGGGAAAGGATTATGGGCTCTAAGGACATGAGACTATGAGAGGACAGCACCCTTATGTATAAGAATTGCCTTCTGGAACAGAGATCAGATTCCCCAGAATCCTGCAGAGGAGCGATATATACAGGTAATGTAGAGTGTTGGTTATCTGGGATATAATATCTTCTATCACAGCGCCATCTATAGTCCATTTATAATACTGCATGACACATCACAGCACCATCTAGTGTCTATCCATAATACTACAGTCATAGGCGTGCACAGGCTATTGCATTAGGGTACACAGGTGTGTATGTATGTATATATACTCTATATTGTCAAAAGTATTTGGATGCCGAACTTTACACTTGGCACAATGCAGTCAGGCAAGTTCTGTTCTCCTGGCAATCGCCAAACCCAGACACGTCCATCGGATTGCCAGACAGAAAAGCGCGATTGGTCACTCCAGAGAACACATCTCCACTTCCAGTGGCGGCGTGCTTTACACCACGGCATCCGACGCTTTGCATTGCACTTGGTGATGTAAGGCTTGGATGCAGCTGCTCGGCCATGGAAACCCATTCCATGAAGCGCTCTACGCACTGTTGTTGTGCCAATCTGAAGGCCACATGAAGTTTGGAGGTCTGTAGCTATTGACTCTGCAGACAGTTAGCACTGTGCATGCGCTGACCCCGCCCTGTCATTTTATGTGGCCTACCACTTTGTGGCTGAGTTACTGTTGTTCCCAGTTGCTTCCACTTTGTTACAATACCACTAGCAGGTGACCATGGAATATTTAGTAGGAAATGTCACGGATGGACTTATTGTACAGGTGACAACGTATCACGGTACCACGCTTGTAGTCACTGAGCTCCTGAGAGCGACCCATTCTGTCACAAATGTTTGTAGAAGCGTCTGCATGCCGAGGTGCGCGATTTATACACCTGTGGCCATGGAGGTGATTGGAACACCTGATTTTACATACATACTGAAGGGAATTTATCAAAACTGGAGCAGACAAAAACTGGAGCAGCTGTGCACTGCAACCAATCAGCTTCTCTCTTTCATTTTCAAATCTTAACTGAACAAACTAAAGAGAGAAGCTGATTGGTTGCCCTGGGCAACTGCTCCAAAATCTGTCTGCTCCAGTTTTGATAAATTCACCCCATTGTGAATAAAATACATACATACTGTGGCAGCAGGCTGATAAAAACGTCTGGGTCTGAGAGATGTATATGCCAGGTTCAGGTGTTATACAAAAGGTTGTCCTCTAGGGGGAAGTGCTGAGAGGGCTGGAGGCTTGGCGGTAACAAGCCCAGCTGAAGCTAGCTGGCTTGTTAGGCCTTTACAAGAACTCCCAGCCTCCTAAAGGTGCCCATTAGGGCTGCAACAACTAATCGGCATAATCGATTATAATCGATTATTGAAAAAGTTGTCAACTTTTTCAATAATCGATTAATCGGCTTCCGATCAGTTGGCCCTGTTCACAGCTCCACACGCTGTACGCACTACCATTTCTACTGTACGGTCGCACGTTTTTTGTCTCCCGTGCAGGCTTGAAAACCCGCTGAGAATCGTACGATTGTCGGCGAGTTAGTGCTTTTCTCGGGAGACAAATGCCGACCGGGTCAGTGTGGCATTGGAGTCATCGGAAGCCCGCCCCTCAGCGGTCCAAGATGGGCAGATCGTACGAGCTTTTAATTAGCTTACAACCATCGCAAGACGAAAGTCTTGCGATGGTTGTAAAGTGTATGGCCAGCTTAAGAAAGGGGCCCCAACCTAGAACCAGACTGTGTGTCTGGGGAACTAGGGAGTAGATCGCCTGTGTGGCAAAAAAGCAACCTGTGCGGCAATCCGCCTGTGTGGCAAAAGAGCAGCCTGTGTGGCAAGAGGACAAGGGACAAGCCTGTGTGGCTAGCGTTTGGAATACAGCCTGTGTGGCCAGACGTTTTTGTTAAAGGACCTACCTGAAGTTGGTGAGAAGGGAAAACAAATTTTTTAATTAAGAAAACCGTACTTTGTGTTTGGAAACCCCTGTGAGGGAACACCTGTGTGGACGTTTCTTTCAATTTGCGAGTAAATAAAAGTGGGAAAAGTAGCCCTTAAAAAGTGAAAAGCAAGTGGCGGTGTCCTTAACCAGTTGACATCCGCGGTGTTAAACCCCCTTCCCATCCAGGCCATTTTTCAGTATTCAGCGCTGCGGTAAGTTTGGAGCGAATACTCACAATACATACATACATACATACATACATAGACCTGAGGCATCCCGGATTCCCATCTTTTCAACTGTCCCTTACCTCTTTCAGCAGGGGTGCAGTAATGAAGCAGGGAGCCGGGCAGCTGGTCATGTGACGACCCACCCGGCTTACTGATTGGATGGGAAGCCAAAGCCATGCTCCCTCACAGCTTCCTAGGCACAGAGGACTGCGGTTGTTATGTGAGGAATGTAAGTGGCAAGTGCTGCTGCGCTCTGTATCGCTTAGCCAGTCACAGATAGAGATCTCTCCAAAGGCTCAGTGACTAAAAACATGGCATCCACTGTTGCAGTTTCAGTGTTGCGTTTGGGGTGATTAGGGTGTGCCCGGGCACACCCACCTATGACACAGTACACATCACAGCGCCATCTAATGTCCATCTATAACACTGCAGTACACATCTGATGGCCATCTAGGGTCTATCAATAGTACTGTAGTACACAACACAATATAGAATCTGTCCATAATACTGCATCTAGAGTCTAATCCAGTATTTCTTAAAGTGTATCTCCACTTTTGCAGACAAAATTTGAGAACACCCCACAATAAGTTTCTTATGTGTTTCTATTCACACAGCATACCTAAAAATAATGTAAAAAGGATATTTCTTATGGTTTGTATGTGTCTGTGTAGAAGGCCTCCTAGGAGCTTCCCTCCACACAGAAAGAATATGGACACGGTGAGTTTTTTTCTCATTAACATACAATGGGTCTAGATCTTTCATTACATCAGGGAAGTCCATGTTCAGATCTAGTTTACAACTGATAATGAGATCTGCCAGCACAGTACAGACAGAGTTAATTAGGTTAAAACTTAATAACTCTCATGCTATTCATTCCTATGGGTTAAAGGTCACCACTGAAGAATCATTTCATCACTGTGCCAGAATGGCAAGGAACATTTTTGCTATTAATAAGTTAAGCAAATCACAGTTAAAAAGGATCAAAACTAAAGAACCCCTGTCCTGAGGAACAAATGAAGGCCACCAGTACTGACCTCTAAACCTACAATCATCATCAGTGAACAGAACTTTACTATTTAAAGTCATTTTGGCACCAAAAGCCTTGAGTCAAGAACAGTGGCCGGCTGCTGGCATCAGACCCTGATGTATTCAATTTGTGAGAGCACCAACATGAGCGTCTGTCCTCTGTGCCCATCAGACATGAATCCACAACACAAACAGAACTGACTTCTACATCTGTGACCAAACTGCAGCGTGTTATCAAATATGACATTCACAACCAGAGCAATACAGCCCCCTGGTGCTCGAGAGAGGGTACTGCAGCTGAGCAGCCTGTACAGGTGAAACTCGAATAATTAGAATATCGTGCAAAAGTAATTGCAGTAAGTGCTGCAAAAGTGGCCCAAACCAAGTACTGAGTACATATGCATGCTTGTACTTTTCAGAGGTCCGATATTGTTCTATGTACAATCCTTGTTTTATTGATTGCATGTAATATTCTACTTTTTTGAGGTTGTGGATTTGGGGTTCTTGGGGTTTTCATGAGCTGTAAGCCATAATCATCACAATGATGACAATGAAATATCTTGCTTTGTATGTAATGAGTCTCTCTCATATATTAGTTTCACCGCATAAGTTGCATTAGTGAAATAAATGAACTTTGCACGATATTCTAATTATTCGAGTTTCACCTGTATAGTGCCTTACACCTGATAATGTCTCTGCACTCACCTCCTATCTTCCTTATATGATCCCTTACCCCTAATAATGTCTCTGGGCTCACCTCCTATCCCCTACCCCTGAACACATCTCCTTTCCTCCTTATATTATCCCTTACCTCTGATAATGTCCCTAGACTCACCTCCTATCCCCTTTATAATTATCCCTTACCCCTGATAATGTCCCTGCACTCACCTCCTATACACTTTATATTATCCATTACTCCTGATAATGTCCCTGCACTCACCTCCTATCCCCTTTATATTATCCCTTACCCCTGATAATGCCCCTGCACCCACTTCCTATCCCCTTTATATCATCCCTTACCCCTGATAATGTCCCTGCACTCACCTCCTATCCCCTTTATATTATCCCTTATACCAAATAATGTCCCTGGACTCACCTCTTATCCTTTATACCTGATAATGTCCCTGGACTCACCTCCTATCCCCTTTATATCATCCCTTAGCCCTGATAATGATCAGAAGATGGTATGACTCACCAGCCATCATGGCGACCAGACTGGCCTTGTACACATTGGTAAGAGAGCCGAGCTCTCCGGTGCCCAGGATGGTTTTCATGTGCGCCTCTCCGCAAGCTTCTCGGAACAACCGAATTTCTTCATATAACTCTGGAAGTAAATCAGATTAATTCTCATCATTTTTGCTGTGTTGTCAGCCCACACTGGAGCTCTGCAGCATATCTCACACCAAATGCCTCACTCACTCCCCAACCAAACTGATTAGATGGAGCATTTTACAACACTTGGCTTTCTGAATCAGGATTGCAGAAAAGAGAAAAAGGACGACTGATTGGGGACATGGGCACCGCACAGATGTGTGACCACTGACAATCAGACCTCAAATGAAGCCAAAACTTGTCAGGACACAAAGCTGCTGAAGACACTCAGAGATAAATGTTGGATGTCAATTGTGGATTCACCGAGCTCCCCACCAGCACACCTACCATTCCAGCGGCCGGTAAGCGCCAGAGTCCTGTTGATGACAATATCAATCTCAGAAGCACCATCGTCTACAGCCATTCGGACCTCTTCCAAGCGGGTCTTCAGATGGGTCTGTCCGGCTGGAAATCCAGTGGCCACTGCAGAATGAAAAATGTATATTTCAGCATTTAAAGAGTACTGAAGGTCTCTTCTATCACTCAGGGTCCATTATGAGGGGTTCCCGCCATCTCTGCAAGGAGGTTCTGGCTCTACACTCCTGCTGTGCCCAGTATGAAGTGTTACAACCATCCCTGTGCTGTGTTTCCAGCTCCACACACCTGCTGTGCCCAGTATGAAGTGTTCCCACCATCCCTGTACTGAGTTCCTGTGTCTATACACCTGCTGTGTCCATTACGAGGGGTTCCCACCATCCCTGAGCTGGATTCCTGGCACTGCCCACACCTGCTGTGCCCAGTATGAAGCATTCCCACCATCCATGAGATGGGTTCCTGGCTTTGCCCACACCTGCCGTGCCTATTACGAGGGGCTCCCACCATCCATGAGCTGGGTTCCTAGGTTTGCTCACCTACTGTGCCCATTATGAGGGTTTCCCACCATCCCTGAGCTGGGTTTCCAGGTCTGCTCACCTACTGTGCCCATTATGAGGCGGGACTGGACAAATACCAGAAGCCAGTGCCCCTTAAAATTTACAGATGGTGTCAACGTTTGAGGATTTCTCTAGTTGTCGTCGATTGAACTGGCTACTAAAAAAAAAAATTCCTGGAAAACTAACCCTATACACTTATTTTCAACATAACACTAAACCCAATCACTACCACTAACATTAAAGGAGAACTACATGATTTAGGGAAAATATTCCTTTTTTCTTCTATCCATATAAAATGTGTTCTACATAAAGTATAGGGAGCCTCCATTAATGGATTCCCAGGACATGGCGCGATTTCTAACACAGCACACCAGAGGCCGTTTGCCTTGAGACTTTCTTTGAAATTTACTTTGGACCCTAACCTAAACCTGACCTTAACCTACTAGCCAACATTGGATTAACCCCTAAAGCTGAACATTTACCTAATCAGTGCTGAAAGGTGTGCAGACCTCTACAGCACCGAGAAGTTAAGTTGGTTCTAGGGATTTTTCGGTACCGATATTATTTCCCCGATACAGAGTACCGTTACCAGAAGTTCCATTAAGGAAGCCGGGCGGTGTAATGACTCGCCGCCCAGCTTCCTGATTAGCCATGAAGCTGTCTACATGCTCCCTCGTCACCAGGTGACAAGGAAGCATGAAGCGGGCTTTCTGGCCAATCTGGCCAGCTTACCGACCAATCAGGAAGCCAGGCAGTGGGTCATTACATTGTACCTGGCTTCCTAACTGGCCTCATCACCAGGTGACGAGGAAGTATGGAGTTGGCTTTCTGGCCAATTAGGAATCCGGGGGGGCAGGTAATGACTTGCCGCCCAGCATTCTGAATGGCCGGCTTCCCAACCAATCAGGAAGCTAGGTGGTGAATCATTACACCCCCCGATTCCTGATTGGCCAGGAAGCCAGGTCCATACTCCTTGGTGATGAGGGAGCATGGAGCTGGCTTCCCGGCCAATCAGGAAGCCGGGGGGCAGGTAATGACTTGCCGCCCAGCTTCCTGATACCGGAAGTTCAAGCATCGGGAGCATTTGGGCAAGTACGATACAGATACTAGTATCGGTGCATCCCAAGTTGCTGCCAATACTAACTGTGCTATGGTGGGGGAACAGTACTATAAGAAGGATGATGATGATGACAACATTAGTACTCATGACTGACAAATGAGAGGCGACTACTTCAGGAGTTCAGTCCACCTATAACAACTGAGAAGCCAATGCAAGGTGAAGTCATCCAAGATGGATCGAAGAGGTTACATGGTACTTACCTGATGCCACAGGTATGTTACAGCCAACATCCTTCAGCGCCTTCACCGTGTCTCGCACACGGGCTGGATAGACGCACACAGCGCCCGTGTTCAGGTCTGCAGGAAAAAGATCCACATTTCATTCATTGCAAATACAGAAACTGAGACGCTTCACCCAACACTGATTAACACTAAATAAATAATCCTCCATCCACCATGCCAAGTACTGGAGGACAGGTGGAGCCCCCCTCCTCCCTATACTGACCCAGAGGTCAAAGACAGAGGGGCCCCTGGCTATATTGCTGACCAACTGACACAGCGCTGTACAAACATTCACCATTAACCCTTCGATTCTTGGTCGGTCAACACAACCTACTCCTGCCGGGAGAATTACAGAAAGACATTATGAAAACAGATTCAGGTAAATAGTAACTCTTATGTGTCCGGAGCTCAACTTTAAAGCGCCCCAGCAATTTTTAACTTACAGTATTTTTTGGGGGGTAAAGTTTTGGGCCCCAGTATGGATGACACATTGAGGGGAATTTATCAAAACTGGAGCAGATAGAATCTGGAGCAGTTGTTCATGGCAACCAATCAGCTTCTCTCTTCCATCTGTTCAATTAAGCTTTGAAAATGAAAGATAGAAGCTGATTGGTTGCCAAGAACAAATGCTCCAGTTTTCACAAACTCCCCCTCACTGTATTTTTGGTAGGTTTTTGGTATTATTTTAGTAGGACTTAACAGTTTATGACTTTATATTGCTTTTGGCTATGATGATTGATTAGGTCAAGTGTAAAAATTGGGACAAAGTTACTTCACGAGTCATTTAGTATGAAATCGTCGGGATGGTAATACGAGTTTTCCACAAATGTAAATCCATTGATGCCGAAAGTACCTTTGCCTAAAAATAGCACGCCACATGTATTGCAAAGAAAAATGGCACGGAGATTTAAAGTGTATCTGGAGCCAAAACAGTTTTTTTGTAGTTTTGGATAGAAAAGCGAAGGGCTAAAACCCCTTTCAGCTTATATTTCGCTGTCTGTATCCCGCTGGGGAGATATCCCTTCACTTCCTGGTTTGGAGACACAACAGGAAGTAAGAGAAAATCTCCCCAAAGTGAGGGGAATTCCTGACCTGGACAGTTTTCATCAAAATATTTGTACCCATTTAAAGATTTCCCCTCACCTCTTGCTCTCTTGACAATTGTAAAATTTGGAATTTCCCCTCAATTCCAGTCTGGGCGACAATGGTGGCCAGGACAAATAGGGGGCGTATCTTACCGGTGGGGAAACAGACAGCAATAAAAACCTGGCAGGAGGGTCCAATTCCTTAGCACTCTATCGAAAATGAAAAAGGAGTTTTGCCTTTTCATACACTTGAAGGAGCTGGGAACATGACCACTCCCAGAAGGAGTTGACCCCACCCAGGAGGAACAACCAAACCCAGGAGACGTTTACCTCACCCAGGAAAAAGTGATCCACCACCCAGGAGGAGTTCCCCTCAGCCAGGAGAAAGTGACCACCACCCAGGAGGAGTTCCCCTCACCCAGGAGAAAGTGACCACCACCCATGAGGAGTTTACCTCACCCAGGAGAAAGTGACCACCACCCAGGAGGAATTTACCTCACCCAGGAGAAAGTGACCATCACCGAGGAGTTGACCTCACCCAGGAGAAAGTGATCCCCACCCAGGAGGAATTTACCTCATCCAGGAGAAAGTGACCACACCCAGGAGAAAGTGACCACACCCAGAATTTCCATGCTCAAACATCTCGGGTATTATAATATTACTTCACATACCAATGTCTTCCATCTTAACACTACGCAGGAGATCCTCTCTGATTGGATGCTTTGCCTTGAAGCAGAGCCTATGGATGTTGGACGGCGTGTCATCTCCAGACAGAGTGGTGAGGTCGATGCAGGTCACAGCCTTCAACAGCCATGCAGCCTACAGGAACAGAACAAGTACAAAGTCACACCACCACACCACAATCAGAGGCTAACGGTCACAACACTCCAGCCAATCAGCAGCTACAATGCCCCAGGCAATCACAAGCTAATCATCACGGAACTCATCAGCCAACCTCAACTGACCAACACACAACAAACCGTCCAATCACAACTGACAGTCATACAACAAACCGTCCAATCACAACTGACAGTCACACACCAAACTGTCCAATCACAGCTAAATACACAAAGGGTAAAGGTGGAAGAGAAACAACAGCGCCACCTACCTGCCAGTCCTTCTTCACAGTTCGGCGAGTCTGAATCTGCTCCGCCCGGCGGAGGACGGCGGGTTGATTGACCCGAACCCTGGAGATCCAGCCGAGATCTAGAAGAAATGTGGACACGTTTGTGGTCACGGAATCTCTAAAAATCATCCGATTAGGAAATCTGTACAAATGGATTTATTTATGACCATGAAAAGTTCAGTAACCCATGGCGATTGCGGTCGAATATCCGCGCAGAAGACACCTCCGGCCCGCCGGGCACTCACCAGATTGGGAAATTTTGTAAAATAATGAAGCCATTTATTTCCCTCCTTTCCGGTGGGAAGGGGAACTTGTGATTTACTGCTACTTCAGTATTTTTCAGAAATAACCCGAAATCCTGCAGTTCATTGTGAATGCGGCGCCACTCCTGGACAGACTTCAATCGCCAAACGCCTGGCGCTGCGGTAGAAGTTTGATACAAAAGTAGCAGAATACAAATCTTCAAGTGTTTCATCTTCCCCTGCACGCGGTCCCCGGGGACGGAGCTACAACGGCGATCCCCCCTCCTCAGCGGCCCGTCCTTGCCTTGTTCTGGGCACAAATTCAAGCCGTCGTATTTGTAAGGAGGGATGAGGACGATGATAGACAACCGCGGAGGAAAGACAACGAGCTCAGAATTTATTACCCAGAAAAGATGCGCAAATAACGGATTATAGGACACGAGAGGCGACCGGCAGACCGCGCGCTGACCTCCCGAGAGGAAAAACAAAGGGACCGAGATCCGATACCAATGACATAGAAACTATAGGGATCGTATCAAATCTGATGGACATATAGAAGTATACGGATTGTATCAAATCTGATCAGATGGACATATAGAAGTATAGGGATTGTATCAAATCTGATGGACATATAGAAGTATAGGGATCATATCACATCTGATGGACATATAGAAGTATAGGGACTGTATCAAATCGGATGGACATATAGAAGTATAGGGATCATATCACATCTGATCTGATGGACATATAGAAGTATAGGGATTGTATCACATCTGATCTGAAGGACATATAGAAGTATAGGGATTGTATCACATATAGAAGTATAGGGATATGTATAATCCCTATACTTCTATATGTCCATCAGATTTGATACAATCCCTATACTTCTATATGTCCATCAGATCCCTATACTTCTATATGTATATCAGATCAGATTTGATATTGATTGGATTCATAAAAAGACTTTACTGGAAACATTGCTCAGACTGATAGAAGGAATGTGACAATTCATGTGAATCACGAGGTTTATTTACTAGAGGAGGGAGCAAACCATTCCAGTGATTGGACTGCACAGTCACTGACCACCCCCCCAGCAGAAAATCCCAGTACAGAGCCAGTAACTGAACCACCCCATAGAGAATACCAGTAAGTAGCCTTCTTCTTCTCTATAATGGTATATACCCAGCTCTGTGCGCACCCTCACCTCCCAGAATGATATATACCCTGTACCACGCGCCTTCTCCATAGTGAAAAAATACCCAGCTCTGTTCCCCCCTCACCCTGAATTGTACATACCCAACTGTGTAACCCCTTCTTTATCAGAATGGTACATGCATGTACCCCCTATTCCCCCAAAATGGTACATACCTTGCTCTGTGCCTCCCTCCTCCTTCATAGTGGTACATACCCAGCTTTGTGCCCCTCTCCTCTTCTTCAGTGCTCCATACAGTACTTAACTCTGTGCCCCCCACTACCACCAGAATGGTACATACCCACCTCTGTGCCCCCTCTCGGTACATGACAGTTCTGTGCCTCCCTAGAAAGGTACATACCCAACTTTTTGCACTTCCCTAATCCCCTAAATCGGTATATACCTCAAGAGTGGAACATACATAGCTCCGAACCCGCCGCCGCCTCCTCCTCCTCCTCCACAGCGGTATATGCCCAACTCTATGTCCCCTCCTCCTAACCCACATTGGTACATACCCAGCTCTGTGCCCGGGTTCCTGCAGGACATGATGTTGGTAAAAGTAAGCACATAAGACAGCCACCCCTACGCCAACCAATCAGAGACGTGCAGGCTCACGTGACAGGTTGCGTCCAATGTGCACCCGGCAGCCCCTTCCTCCCGGACTGTGCAGATTGCTGTGCGGGAACACGTGACCTCCCAGAAGATACAATGTACAGTACAAGAAAAGGGATGCCACGTGACTTCCCCTGACCAGAAGATACTATGTATAGGGACAGGGATGACACGTGACTTCCCCTGACCAGGAGATACCAGCATGTATAAGGACGGGGATGACAGTGGATCTATCTGATTTATTACTAGAGCGGATCATCAGGAGATATGGAAACTTTTATTGTTACCCGATCACAGATCACAGTGCTAAGTCAGTGACCCCTCTGCTCCCCCCCCAAATCCCAGTACACAACCAGTGACCTGTCCACTCCTCCCATGATCCCAGTATTCGGTGACCCCTCTGCTCCTCCTAAAATCCCAGTACACAACCTGTCCACTCCACCCATCATCCCAGTATTCAGTGACCCCGCTGCTCCTCCCAAAATCCCAGTCCACAACCAGTGACCTGTCCACTCCTCCCATGATCCCAGTATTCGGTGACCCCTCTGCTCCTCCTAAAATCCCAGTACACAACCTGTCCACTCCACCCATCATCCCAGTATTCAGTGACCCCGCTGCTCCTCCCAAAATCCCAGTCCACAACCAGTGACCTGTCCACTCCTCCCATGATCCCAGTATTCGGTGACCCCTCTGCTCCTCCTAAAATCCCAGTACACAACCTGTCCACTCCACCCATCATCCCAGTATTCAGTGACCCCGCTGCTCCTCCCAAAATCCCAGTCCACAACCAGTGACCTGTCCACTCCTCCCATGATCCCAGTATTCGGTGACCCCTCTGCTCCTCCTAAAATCCCAGTACACAACCTGTCCACTCCACCCATCATCCCAGTATTCAGTGACCCCGCTGCTCCTCCCAAAATCCCAGTCCACAACCAGTGACCTGTCCACTCCACCCATGATCCCAGTATTCAGTGACCCCTCTGCTCCCCCCCCCAAATCCCAGTACACAACCAGTCCACTCCACCCATGATCCCAGTATTCAGTGACCCCTCTGCTCCTCCCAAAATCCCAGTACACAACCAGTGACCTGTCAACTCCAACCATGATCCCAGTATTCAGTGACCCCCTCTGCTCCCTCTAAAATCCCAGTACACAACCAGTGACCTGTCCACTCCACCCATGATCCCAGTATTTAGTGACCCCCTCTGCTCCCTCTAAAATCCCAGTACACAACCAGTGACCTGTCCACTCCACCCATGATCCCAGTATTCAGTGACCCCCTCTGCTCCCTCTAAAATCCTTGTACACAGCCACTGACTCCTCCAATCCACCACACAATCCGAGTACAAAGTAAGTGACCCCACAATCCCAGTACACAGCCAGTGACCCCACCACTCCACCCAAAACCCTAATACACCACTCCACCCAAAATCCCAGTACACAGCCAGTGACCCCACCACTCCACCCAAAATCCTAGTACACAGCCAGTGACCCCACCACTCCACCCAAAATTCCAGTACAGTGCCAGTGATCACTCTGCTCCCCTGAAAATGCCAGTGACCCTTCCGCTTCCCTCTAAATCCCAGTACACAGTGATCACTCTGCTCCCATGAAAATCCCAGTACACAGCCAGAGACCCCTCCACTTCACTATCTCAGAATACAGCCAGTGACCCCTCTGATCCACCTATTATCCCAGTACTTAATCAGTGACCCAGCTGCTCCACCCATAATCATATTACTGAGGATTGAGATCCATCAATCACTATATAGAAAGCTATGCCCAGGACATGGCAGAGTAATGCCACTCCTGGGCTGGGAACACATTGATGGGCAGGGCAGAGTAGTTGGCCCTATGGTGCAAAAATGTAATAGGTCAGCAATGTCCTCCGCCTCAACCATGAACATTACACAATTCCACCTGTGTAGAAAGCCTCAGATGAAAGCTGCTGTCCTCCACACTCCAAGCAGCATATTGGTTTGACGGTAGTGATGTCATCTGGCATGAGGCTCAATCACTTCCTCTTCATTCACCCACCACTAGTGTAAGGGTCTGGCAGCATCAAACCAGTCTGTTTATTTAACGCCCAACTCCAGGCTGGATTTCTGGTACTTGAGGTAATTCCAGTTAAAAAAAACAAAACAATATAGCATAAATAACTGAACAAGCCAATTTGTAATTTAATGTTATTAAAAATTAACATTTTATTTAAAATTGTAGCTGCTGTAATGTTTTAAATCTGTCAGAAAATTGTAATGCACTACGGGGACCCGGAGGCATTTTGTTGGTATACAGAACTCACCCAAAAATGTCCATTTCCTGCTTCTGTGATTGGCTGATTTTACTAGATACAAGTGAAGATACAACTTTCAGCATCCCCTGCAATAGGGATTTCATTTTCGGCGAGATACTCCCTACAGCTGTCCACACACCTATAGATTGTCTGCAGATTTTCTATGGTCAGATGGAGGTATCTCCATCTACAATAAACTGTGTGGACGGAGGAATCTCCCACTGGGCCAAGCTTCAGTATCTTACTAGTCGGCCCGCTGGCTCTCAAAACACCCGACCAATGCCGGCATCCAATCAGATTGTTCAGGTATTTTGAGACCCAGAGGGGCCGACTAGCAAGATACTGAAGCTTGGCCCAGCGGGAGATTCCTCCATCCACACAGTTAGTGTAGATGTTGGAATCTGTTGAGCTTTCTCCATCTGACCATAGAAAGTCTGCAGACAATCTATTAGGTGCATGGCCAGGTTAAGGATTAATTACTACCAAAGGGATGCCCATACAGCACCTTTCCTCATTACAACACAGGAAGTCCACCAGCTGGTCATAATGAACCTGACCCTCCCATTCAGGAACCAGTTTGGAAAGGACAGGGTAATAAAAAAAAACAGCGTTTTCTGTAATAGAGTTTGTTAAAATCCTCATACTGTACTCAAACCATTGAGAGGATTCATTTTTTTTTTTCTTCAACAAAAAGTGGAATTGCCCTTTAACCACTTCAGGACTGCTGTACATCTATAAACAGCAGCTGGCGAGCACCAAAAAGAAATTTAAAATGCCCCCCGCGCTAAATCTATCACATCTTTAGGAATACAGGAACAGCGATCTTCCACAAGTCAGCAGCACCTTAACAGTCGGGGTAACTGAAGATCTAGCAAACAGGGAACACAAAGACAGTGCACCTCCTATGTGTAGAAGTCTTTGTTAAAAATAAAGAGGAAAGAAATGCACTTTTTAGCAGTCATTAGAGAGCCACAGTATGAACTATGCAGACTGGAGGACACATCCTTCTACCTGCATGTCAGCCTTGGTTAACGCGTTTCTGGGGCCACACCCCCCCCCCCCCCCCCC